AGCGCTGGGGGCAGAACGGCCGGGCTGCGCCGCCCCGAAGCAAGGCCAGTCTTCATCATCTGCGCCACAGCTGCTCCGGATGCCCTCTCCCCGCGCGGGGAGCAGCAGCGTTCTCAATACGGGGGGTAGTCGGACTCCGTTACTTTGGCTTCTGAAGGTGCCTGGGCTCCCACCTGAAGAGGCAGGCAGCCTTCAGTGTGACTGTAAAAAGTGCGATGGCGGTTAGGCAGGTATTAGCTATTCGGCATTCTTTCATTGAAAATTTACAGACGGCAGCAAACCGAAGGGGCTTCAAAACTAATAGCACAAGAGAGCTACGAAGGCAGCCGAATGCCGTCTCAGCGTGAAAATGGAAGTTCATTTGAAGCAGCTGGAAAAAAAAAAAAAATTGGTGTAACAGCCTGGAGTTTAAAAGCACCTGCAAACTTTCCAGGAAACGTTCACACTGGTTTCAGAAGTTCCATCGCATAAGCGGTAGCATTATGTAAGTACAGAACAGGAGTGGTCAAGGCTAGCAACATTGGGAGCTCCCATACTTGGGGGTTACCTGCAAGGATGAATTTAAGACTGTTGAGGGTTAAGCAACAGCAAACCCTGATGGGTACTCAGGACACAGAGTAGTTTTAAGGTGCATCAGTTTCCTGGGGGTATAGCCAGCACTTTTTCCTCAGGTGCATTGTGCAAGCTCAGAGTTTCCAGAAAACTTTTTCCATGGACAGAATAATTTTCACTTCAGTTGATCAAACTGCCATTTTAAATTGGGGTAAGATGACTCAGGTTTTAGCAGGCACGGTTAGACTATTCAGTTAACAACTCATTGTTTTTTCTGTACTCATGAATTCCTTTGAAAGCTGTGCCTCCACTACCAATCCATGATGTGTTTCAGGGAACAGAAGAAGGAAAATGCACCAAATCAACTACAGTACTACAGCTGTATTTAGTACTATGAATTAATATACACTAACAAGGTGATAGTCTATTTGTAGATTGTCAGGCTGACTTCACAATGACAGATAGAGCTAGTACTTCCACTCAGCATTTTAGATTATAAACTATAAAAGAATGTACAGTGCAAATAGTAACTGGGACAAAATAGTGACACATGAAGTAGAAGTTAAAAGAATTTGACAGCTCGCTCTTTCTCTTAGCTGCAAATATTGCATCATTTTATACTGGTACTATAAAACAGGGGAAGATACAGCAGCTCTGGTGGGCACCTGGCATCCAGCCAGGGTCAACCCAGTACATATGTGAAAGTTTAGGATTCAGGTTAAGTACATAGGTGGGAATTTGTAAGAATTTGATCACTTATGTAAAATATGCATCATTCTCCAGTTATTCAGCACATACATTGTTTGCATTTTCTGAAGTGCTTTCTTCTGTTCAGAAGTTTAATCTTCAAGACCAAACACTTTTACCAAGATCTGCAGTTTAACTTACTTCTGGCTCCTGCATTTTCTAGTAAAATGTACTAAATTATATTCTTTCACTTCAACACTCTGGGGTCATTTATTAACAGCAGATAGCATCCTATAATACAGCATATGGCTTTATAGCACACACCTGTCTGTCCATGTGTACACAGCATGGCAGTACAGGAAGCATTAGGAGGAAGTATGCTATGCATGTGTGTCGTCCCCCCCTTAGAAACATCTGCACAGGGAGTTAGAGAGGAGATGACATGCAGTAACTTCACATCATGCCACACTGAATTAACACAAAACCATAATTAAGCCACCTTTCACTAAATTCTGTAGTTTTAATCACAGTAATAGTGGTACAACTGTGCCCATAAGTTATAAGTTTGTACAGCAGGCAAGCACACAAACACCCAAGAGATTTTGAAGTAGATAGTAGAAGGAATAGGAGACAGACCTTGCTAGTGCTTTTAACAAGAATACATTTGAACTCAGTTTTTCATGTGTAAAGTGTTTGTTCATATAGCTGCCCCCCTCATCCTGTGCCTCTCAGTGGGCATTTTATCTCATTACCAGAATTGAAAGTTCTCATCACTGTATCTAGACTCAGCCTTTGTTGCTGAAGTTTCCCCTTATGTTTCTTCCATGCTGCTGTAGCCACAGACTTAGCTCATAGTTAGCTCGGTATATTTTAACCACATAATACAATGAAGATGTGGAAGAGGAGAAATAAGGCACTTCTGCTAGGGGTCACTAAGATAAAGCTGGACATCTACTTTTGCTCTGTACAGAATGGGCTGACTCATAGGATGCAATCAAAATCTAGCTATTAATTTTTAAATATTTTTTTTAATGGAAGGAAGGTAAAAGCATTTGGGAATAGCTTTTCCTCCCAGTACATACTCAACCTTTTAACACAACTATTAGAAAGCAGAGCGCTGCAGCTTGGAAGAGCTCACCCTAATCTAGACGTAGACCATCCCATCCCACAGGAGTCAGACACCATCAGGAAAGGCATCTGCAAGCATGTGCTAAAGGACTACAATAACAAGATGTACTTGGGAAGTTCAGAGCAGCTCAGGCCTGATGTGGAGCTGGATGCATTCCTGCTTTTCTGCAAGGTGTCAATGGGGGCTTGGACCCTCAGGGCTGTGTTCTGATCACAGGGTCTTCATCCGTCTTCAGGTATTTTCCATTTACAGTCTCCTTGAGAGCCCAGTCATGGAGGAGGCTGTAGTCGTAGTGCTCCTCATCCACTCGTTTTAGAAAGGCCAGTCCAGAAATGGCTTGCCACTCTCGGAGAGAGGGGATACGTATTTCCTTCACATTTTCACTCCCTGGGACAAAGCCAAAGAACTTCCTTACATGCTGCATGGCATAGAGCCTGGAGTGCTGGTCTGTCGCTTCATCAAAGAGTGCCTGCTCATTATGGACATAGCTGCTCCAGTATCTGAAATGTAGAAAGCTGAGTGGGGAGAAACAGCTTGCCAGACAGTAAGACAGGAACACAGTGATGACTACCACAGCAATGAGAAGCCAGCCAGCCACCTTACAAAGAAAAAGAAAAGAAAAAAATAAAACTCTTATAGCTGAAAATACAGTAGTAACTTCTGAGCATCAGAAACTCCATAAGATGATCTTTACTTGCTTTTCCTGAATAACAAGGTTAAGGTATAGGCCTGGTAAGGGTCTGTTGCCATCAAACCCAGTCCCTGCCTACTGAAGGTAGCCATGTAGTAAAGTCACTTCTTTCTGTCAAGTTTAAGGGAGTTCTGTTGTACAATTTAAGGATTTTGCCTCCACAGCTATTGTGAGAACAGAAGCCATCTAATTCCCAGCCTATGTAAGCTTATAGCCTTTTTAAAACCAATTTTCTCTGAAGTGACAACTAAATGTTCCCCCTATTATTTACCCAATATGTAAGCTTTTTGAATTGAGAATTTAGAATTAAAACAGGATTTTAATTTGGTTCACATGGAGCTCTTGCAGCCTGGGCCCCTTAGTATCATGTTTCTTACACCTGAATGCAGAAGCTTCATACCCTCCTTGGCTCTTGAACTTCCATCTGTCTTACTTGACAGTATTTTTCAAGATACTACACAAGGAAGAATATATCCTCCAGTAGCAGTTAATAAATGGATCAACCAGACATAGTAATTCATATACCTAAAGTTCAGTTCCATTTACAGGAACAAAGCAGGCTTCAAAACACACAGAGATTTGGCACTCAAGGCCAAAGATACCGATCCTGTTTTATCCTAACATTTTGCCTGCTAAATTAACTCCAGTTCTCATCATCAGGTTTGCAGGCAACAGAAGCAACATGAGCTACTCACTTGTGACTGGTATCGAAGTAGGAGAATCACTTCATCTCTTGCCCGGGTCAGCTCCGGAGGAACTAACTGACTGCATGGAAATTCAGCCAATATCCTTTGGCGTTCGCTAGCAGTCACATTAGGATTAGCTCCATAATAATGCACAGAGACATACTCACTCATGGCACAGACATAGTATGAGCCATTTATTAGGGTCACTGCTAGCCATGTTACTGGAGCAACCAGGGCTCTCCCAGTGATGCTGCACAAGACGAAGCAGATCAGTTTGCACTGCAGTAACCGATTTGGTGTAGTCTCATCCTGAAAAGGAGAGCTTTTGCCTGTAACCAGCCTCCAAGTCTGGTTATTCAGGGCATAACCAACAACAAGAAGGATCAGCGCAGGAACTCCTAGGAAAGCTAGCCCATAGATAAGGTTCTGCCCAACATGACAGGGACAGCTGAATGTAAAAAAAGAGAAAAGTTGCTGCCCACCAATTGTCAGTATTGCAATTATAGCATTAGCAATAACAACCTCTTTGCCTTTTAAAAAAGTTAACCACTCTGGAAGGAGAGTCATTTTAAGTCTTAATCTTTACTAGAAGCTTTTTCCTTTAAGTTAAATATAATTAAAAGCTAGTATTATCTAATGTTAATAGCAGACTAAAAGAGAACAAACTCCAATAGCTTAAAAAAAACCCCAAACAACCATACTACTCTTTCTCCTCTTGCTAACTTTTGAGTCTAACAGCTGAAAGTTTGTTTGCTAGCTTTAAATATACTTAAAAGATCCCATCATGTGTTCTAACTGATTCAATAATTTATCTCAGTGGTTCTGGAACATTTAGCTTTTAGGCAATTGTGAGCTCTGCCAGCCCCTTGCTAATTGACTGAAACTAACAGTAATTTCTCCCTACCTTTTGGGTGACAGGCAATTCTATCAAACTGATGACTACACTATCAGGGTTAATTGTCAAGCTGTTTCTTAATCAATGGCAATTAGAAGAAGCATGGTGTGGGAGTAAGGGGGGAAAAAAAAAAAAAAGAAAAAAGAGAACTTTCAACTGTTGCTCATTAAAAAGCAACCAAACAAAGCCTTGCCAAGTGGACTGATTGTAAAAAAATGAAGCATTTAAAATGCTTCAACATTAAAATAAAACCAGAAAAGATTCCATAAGTTTCACAAAGTTTGGAATCCCTATTCTGTTCATGTTTTAATGTCAGGTCTGGTTCTGGGGCAATTTGCTCTCCAGATGCTGGAGTCTAAGATGTAGTTAGCTGCTAGACCATGAGGAATTTAGTGTTTCACCTGTAGTCTTTTCTAGACAGTGCTGAGTCTTTCCTTTGTAAGGTTTTTTTTTTTTTCTGGTAATGTGTAATCTGCTATTCACACAGTGTCAAGCCAGTTTAAGATGTGCTCATGATAATAGCTGACATTTATATAGCATGCTTGTGATCCAAAGTTTTGAGATTTTCTGTATGTATCATCAATCCCATTCTGTGGGCAGAGGTAGATAGAAATTTTTCAGTTAAACCATTAATATTGGGATGTATGATCTGAGCTTTCAGCATCTCTTACAAATCAAGCCTTAAACAGAGCTTAATTCAAAATGTTTCACTCCTGATGATTTTGTCTGGGTCATGCTTTGTCTATGGTCATGTTATCCAGTAGTTCTGTATATTGCATACCCCAGGCTGATCTGAATATGCAAATACTTGTGTTTAAGTTCTGAGAGGTCTAACTACCTGTAATATAAACACTTTTACCAAGAACAGAAAAAAAAAATTAGCCAGAAAGTCTATGAGGAAAATTTTCTTCCTATTACAGATGGCTATCTCCATCATGTGTGGACTTGGTGGCATGATATAATAGTGTCTAACTGTACAGCCTCTTCTCTCTGCTTGTGGAGAGGGTTGCTAATAATAGCTTTCATCTCAAAAAGTACTTTTAGTGCCCATGGTATCTGCTTGGATGGCAGAGACACTCTCACAGCTGTTACACACATGGATGGCATGTCACACACGCCTTGACTATTTCCTAGACAAGAACTTGTTCCTCCAGTGTGCCGTTAAGGTGGACACCTGCTTGTCTCACTCCCATTCAAACAAGGTCATTGCTGGTAATTGGCTGTCAAAACTATGTGACACCATTACACAAAAGCGATAGAGAAACATGCTGAAACATCCAGCAACACTTTGCTTACAGCTTTTCTGGAACCTGTTGTTAAGTACTTGGTTGTTTGCACAGAGCAGTAGCACAAAATCCCAGTGCTGTCTGAACACTGCCATTTTGAATCTTCATTTTCTTTCAGTATCAGAGGATCTTCAATAATATTTTTTGTTTTTGTACTAGTGGCATTATATTTAGAAAAAAACCCAAAACTCCTTTAAATTCAGTGAAATTAATCCAACGGGCTATTACAGAATTATTTCGAAGATATGTTTTATGCCTCAGTTCATTTTAAAATCTCCAATTGATTGCTGCTGAGCTTTCTTTGGGAACCCATTTCTTATTTTGTTTATAAGGGAGAAAAGCTTTCCCAAGCATCGCTTGTTTACTCAAGAAACACATTAGATGTGAAACTGAAGAGATGTGCAACACTGAAATATTCAGTCAGCCTGAGGCTGTTGAATGAGACAGTTTATATTATAGAATCAATACAACAACTTTGTAGTGCTGCATTGTCACTTCTTTGGCATTTGCTTTCATGTCATGCTGTAAATAATCCTGCTGCGTCATCTTATTGTGGAACAAATTACAGGCTTGGATTCCATTAAGAGCTTGGGCAGCACATCAGATCTTTTAAGTACTAGCCTTTGCAGAGGAACCCAGAGTCCTGAGGCAGACATTTAGGCTCTTGATCAATGCCTAGGAAGAGTAAGGACTAAATGCAATCCAAAATACCACTACCTGAGGTGACAGCCAGCTTGCCTCTGAGGCAAAGAGATGCTTATAGCCGACCTCTGAGGCAAACAATACATGGGCAAACCTTAGCCATGGTTTTGCTTGTCATTTTGCAGGGCTCTGTCCGCTTGAATTCACTGCCAGGAACCTCACTTATGAGAGTCAGTGATTTTTTTTTAAGAACTTAGAATGGTTTGTCATTTTTTTTTTTAAACATGGTTATTGGAACACATACTACACCTTCCTATCCTCCCATACACAAGCAAGCAGGTTTTATTCTCTTGTTTGCTTTTTATTGAAATAAAGCAGCCATGGCAAAAGGGAGAGATTGGTTTCAGTTTCCTTCTCAATCTGATCTGGTCAAAACTCACTCACTCATCTCTTTCTTCCAAGAGCTCAGTTATTATTAGTGATGTGGTGTGACTGTGGTGGGAAGAAGCTGTATTGTCCATTTTTCCTGCCATAGCTCTACCAGTTGTACTTAGGTGCCCCACAGAGAGGATTCAGATATTTACTGGATCAGAAAAAATATGAGGATTTTGTTATCTAATGGCCAGTAAAAGGTAGAGAGAAAGAGGGAAGTGTTTTTCTATTTTCCATCTGAAAGTTGCTTCCTGTAAAGTTTGTAGGAGGAGACTGAACCCTGATCTCTCCAGTCTTGGGCAAGTGTTTTCATCATCGAGCAGTCAAAAGGCTGATGTTTTGTGCCTCCTTTAGCGGCATTTTGAGTTACATTTTGCATGGATATCAAGCCTGCCTGTGCATGTTAGAAAGCATCCTATGACAGTACCTGCATGGCAGATTTCCTGTGGGGGTGTAGGGGAGCACTGCCCACGTCCTGTGTTCTGCCTGGTTGCAGGTTGGCTTCAGGCTGCCAAGTCATTTTCACAGTCTCTTTGGCCTGGTTAAGGGAAAAGTTCCTCTCCCCTGGAGAGGAGAGCAAACAAAAGCCTGATCCTGTATTGTTCTAACTTGGACACCCATCTTCTGTTGCAAGTGTGTTCTTGTTTTGACTCAAAGAACTTTTTAAGGTATTTTTTTAGGCATTTGATACCTCATTATTGACCTTTATATTGCACTCTGCTCTGGGATATTCATGTTTGGGAAAATCCTTAGATACTGGACTACTAAAGAGATCTACAGGTTTCAGCTTTTGCTTAATAACCAGGCCACTATAAGAGACAGGGTGCTAGTGCACATTTTAATGCATGCTTTTGAACTTTAGGAGATATTTTGTGTAATTTTTTTCAGTTTAATGTGAATGAAGAGAACTGATGTAATCTAGTGCACAAGCAGTGTGCAAGACCAACCTTCCTGGGTATTAAAAAGGTGGATTTGTTCTGTTCCTGAAGATGTGGATGCAGTCCACCATTGACTTGTTTCCCTCCCTGAGGCCATGGAATCCCCGGTTTATTTGGGTACACCATTTCAGCTTCATTTTCTCAGTCAAGTGCAAACCTTTCAGAGTGTAGTGTGTTCTACCTGATACATCGTATTATATATGTAAATTAACATGTATACACATGTGCACGTATGTATTTTCAACACAATGCTGATGTGTTCTTACCATTCATTGCACTGTGATCTACAATGTTCCTTCATGATTGTAGTATTAATAATGCTGGCTGAAGTAATTCATCTTTATATTCAGAACTGGATAAAAAAAAGGTGCCTATTTATGGGTAGCCTTAAGTGCTTTATGATGGTTTCACTGCAGTTAAATTATGCTAATGACAATCTTTTAGAGCTGCTTTTTAAAATGCAATGCAGTACACTTTCTTAGGGAATATGGGATAACTCTTGTAATGAGAGACCTATTTGGTGTTTGTCACCAGTTGGAGACAATCTGAGAAACAAACCTATCTAAGGACTCAATTTAGAAATGCAAGTAACTATCAAGAGAATTGTAATGTTGGGCTTTTATAATTTATTTCAATTTAGTTATGGGAAATACCTACAACAGTTTCACTTATAAAATGGAGTTGGATTTTACAGGACCAGAAAAGTGCCTAGAAAAAAATAGAAGAGGCTTATTATATTGTAAAGTTGTCAACACCGGCTCATCATTCTGTGTAAAATGAAAGCTGTTAGGATGACTATGTTTTCCATAGATAGAATCATAGAATTGTCTAGGTTGGAAAAGACCTTGAAGACCATCTAGTGCAACCATTAACCTAACACTGGCAGTTTCCAACTACACTGTATCCCTAAGCACTATGTCGACTCTACTCTTAAACACCTCTAGGGATGGGGACTCCACCACCTCCCTGGGCAGCCCATTCCAACACCTAACAACCCCTTCTGTAAAGAAATGCTTCCTCATATCTTGACCAAACCTTCCCTGGCACAACTTGAGGCCATTACCTCTTGTCCAATCACTTATTACTTGGTTAAAGATACTCATCCCCACAAAGCTGAAAACCCTTTTATCTGTCCTATATTTTGTTGTTGAATTGTGTCATAACTTTCAACTACCATATTTTAAAGTAAATTAATCCTTCTTATCCCAAATGAATCACATCTGCTGCTTTCTGTGTATCTGGAGTAAGTACCTATGATTTTACTCTAGCACTGAATCTTTTAATTAGTTGAAATTTTGTAACAGCATGGCATTCAGATAAGGCCATGTATTTTTACTTCCTTTCCTGATAGGACTCAGTGGGAATATATGTGGA